TTTGGTGCTCTAACGATGAAAAGCAGGGTGAAAACGGGGAAAAGCTAAAAACCAAAAAATTTTCTCACGCGGAAAGGGGTTCCTGCTCCCCCAACGAGCAGGAACGACCCCTGATGTGATTTTCCCAACAATGCTGCACCCTTGTATGACCCTATTATAGCCTTTCCTGGCTCTGCCAACTCTAAAACTAACAATACAGCTGTTTAGTGTTGTCGTATCATCAGTCCATTTCAGTATCTCTACAAGACCCCGACCCTAAATGAATGCTCCCCTGTTCAACACCACTAAACAATTTCTCAGCCCTTTGCTGGACCTCGCAGAGTCACAAGTCGAGTTGACCAACCACATAAGGAGAGAAGAAAGGAGTTCCCATAGAAGTATTTAAAACAATAGCCTATCCCAGCAACTCATTCCACCAAAGCGCTCAATCACTCTATTCAAAATTGGCATACCTCCTGAGGAATGCACCGTTGCTCGTTCGTCTGGCACTTGTCGCCATTGTTAGGATCGAACTGCATTGAACAGCACATAACGAAAGCCTGAAATTGACTGAATTTCTGGTTTGGAATCCAAGGCTACTGTATCCTCGACATGTATAGAAAGAGGTCAGAGCGGCAAAAAAGGAAATTAGTACGGTGAGTTATGAGGCAACCCTTCAACTAGGAAAAATATGATTAATGTGGTTGAGAGACATCTAGAAAAGTGCATAGCTAAAAGGGTGATAAATCAAAGCGTTACCTTGCAGTACTGCTCAGGAGTAGGAGCAAAAGTTGCAATCGAGTTACAACTATCGTAACGATCCCGAATCGTCGGATCCCAGTTGGTCACTGCCATAGTTCTGAAAAGGGAGATTACTTGTAAGAGTATGCAGAAAATTCGCTACATCTTCGTTGAATCCCATAAGAAAACTTATTATGTCGCTATGGAGGTGAGTGATAATCTCGTTTTGCCGCTCCACAGATAACTCTAGCCTGTGAGCTGCCTAAAGTACACTCCTTATCCCCGCGATGGAGTAGGCGTGACATATGAACATGCATAGAATTGATTATTCGTGGGATATTTCTGTTTGAGACAACTTTCATCTGTTCACTGTTGGACAGAGAAATTACCACAATTGTGTCAAAATGAAAATATCTTGCCAAAAGCACAGTCACCTCCGTGTTCGGTCAAAGTACGCAGCCACGCCTACCGCATCTCTGGGATTTCGAGTGTAAGGGGCGGTACCAAAGGAGGAAATCTGGGAGTCCTTCGTATACGCCATGTCACCCATCTCGATAAAGCACCCTGCTCCTTAGAGCCCTGTGATTCTCACGAAAAATAGTAAAACTCAAAAAATCCAACTTTTTATCAAATTACACTGTATGTGCCCCCAGTTCATTACTT